TTTATATAAAAGTTAAGTGGACATCAAGAAAACATCCCAACCCAGTGCTGCCCAAGCCCACAAGTCCAACATTAACCCATAACCCATATGTCCAACACCAATCCACAAAGTCCTCCTCCATCTCACAAAACAGATGCAATGATGCCAACTGCAGGAGGAAAGCTGAGTCAGTTAATGTGTAACCATCTCAGCACTGGCAGGGGTTTCCACATGGGTGCTTCAGCTGTACCCTGGTCAGACCATGAGAAAGCAAGAGACCCGAGAACTAGAAAGGTGAGGATCACTGAGCCATTTATCCCTCCACCTTTCTATTAACCCCACATGTGCTTATCGACCAGGCTGGCACAATAAACTAAGCAACTCAACTATGAACGATCCAGAGGAGCTTTTTTCTGTTTTTATTTTTATGGATGGGGGTGGGGAATCCCCTCGTCTATTACTGTTGACATCAAAAGAATAAAAAGGTTCTTTTTTGTGTGTTATAATGGCAGTGGTAATATGAGAAGGATTGTAGCAAAATCTTACCAGATTCCAGCTCCCAGTGGCCCAGTGACAGCAAGGTTTCTTGTTGCAGGGAGCAGAAGGTGGGGGCCTTTCTTTCCAGTTACAGAAGCCCCCTGGACAAGACACTCCTCTCTGCTGAACTCCGCCTCCACAGGACCTGGAGCACTGGCATAGGACAGAGAACAGACAGACATGGCGGTGATGACGTCGGTGAGAAGGGAGAACTTCTCCCATCCTATGTGCTGTGTGCACTGGTATCAGGAATACCAGTTCTCTACTGTCCTTGCAGGATCCTGACAATGATAACTCATTTTCAGCAACAGTGGTAAAAAGGGAACGAGGGAGGTTGATAAAAGACATTTCTAGGGAAAGAAGCCACGCTGAAGGAAACCAAACTAAAATAATCAAACCTGTTGCAATCAAGTCAATTTAGATTTATGTTGTTGTTGTTACGTGCCATTAAGTTGGCTCTGACTCATAGCAACCCTGCATACAACAGAATGAATATCGGCACCATCCTGCACTGTCCTCCCAATGGGTATAGTGCACAGCAACCCTATTGGGGTTCCAGGGACTGTGAATCTTTATGGGAACAGTTTCATCTTTGCCCCATGGAGTGGTTGGTGGGTTTGAACAGATGACTTTGTGACTAGCAGTCCAATTCCTAGTCCCTAGGAGGCAAAAATCAGAAGAAGCGGAATACTTCAATGTCAAATGGAAATATGTCAAAAGGATGGCATTTTGCTTAGAACTCTAGATAGATGGTCATTCTGGATGAACACACTCTTATCTGAGTTTGATTTTCTGACACAAATGTCTAGAAAACAAAATTTGGATTTGTAAAATTTCAATTAGCTCTACAAGTCTTCCCACTACATGTTGCTGTTTGGCGTCATCAAGCCTGTTCCAACTCATAGCGGCCTCATG